ATAACAAGAGCAAAAATAATTTAATAGATAATGAGTTTAAATTGTAATAATTTCTTTTTACATTAGATACTAGGGGAGAAACAGAGAAATTTAGGTTTAAATTTGTAAATTTGGATAATGCAAAGTAATTAAGTTTAGGTTTTCGAAAAGAACTTTAGATAATGCAATATTATTATTTAGTCAATATAATAATTGGCAGGATGTGGCTGGAAATTAAAAGTATACAAAGAAATTTTTAGGAAAAGAATCGAAATATAGATTTGGCACTCGATTGCCGTACGTTACCATCGATAGTGGTGTCCGATATTTTATCAAATACAGGCACTTAAAAAATTGGCAACATAGCTATAAAAAATAATAGATATGACTTTTAAGAAAATTAAGGTTATATTAAAAAAATTGTTTATTTTCAAATTAATACACAATATTTTTATATTATCTATGGTTATTTTGGTTTTTCTGCAGTTAAATTGATAAAAATAATAAGTATAGTATCATTTGCATTAGCAGTTATGCGAAAACAGCAAAAATAGTTCTGTCCACATTTTTTCTTTGAAAGCAGGATACATGGAGCTTAATACTGGACACAGGATAATGGCAAGGACTGATAAAAGTACCTTTGATTGCACTTTTAACATACTATGACTTTTAATTTTTCATAAACATATGTTTTTAATTTTGTACCTGTCAATTTGTTTTTTAGTTACCATGTAGTTTTCTTTAGTTCTGCTTAGTTTTAGATAAAGTTATCACTGCAAGTGGTCAACAATAACTAACTCTCAAAACCGACAGAAACAATTTTATAGAAATACCATGTCATGGCCTACTAGATATACTTTGGGTGTTTTTGTCTAGAACTATTCGAGTAACATCGAAATTAATTAATGTAGATTATCGTTTATTGCACAAGTTAGTCACTATTAAGGGACCCACTCACCTCGTTCGTCTCCACTGTTTTTAACTAACGGTTAAAAACGTTGGAAGGAAGACCGTTGACTGATATGTCCTCACATAACAGTTTTTTTCGCAGCAGTTTATTACGATGGACCATACGTGCTTGTAAGCAGTGGCAGCGGACAAAAATTGCGAAAAAAGAAAATCTCGAAGTAAATGTACTAAAGACTAGCTACTTAAACGCAGTACACTGTCGCATACAAAATTTACTGGATGAGCTAAGATTGGCGGTTGGCACAATTACTTGAGTATGGACGAGGATACGTATCGGAAACTGTTAAAACTAGTAACACCGTTAATTGAGAGACCTAACACCCATTTACGTGAATGAATTAATCCTCACGAACGCCTAACAGCTACTCTGCGCTTTCTGGTCACTGGCCGCACCTACGAGGATCTGAGGTTTTCTGGTATTATTTCACCGCAGACACTAGGACGCATTAAATACCCGAAACTTACCTGTGTTATTCTGATGTATAAGCTACATTATTTTAAAATTTCATGAAAATCCGTTTAGTAGCTTTTGCGTGAAAGAGTAACAATATACATACCTCAAAATGTTCTACATCGGAATCTCCAGCATTACTTTCATCTGCATCGTCTACCAGAGGTGCGGTTTGTACGTATCTTCCGACCCAGTACCTGATTTCAAACTTTCACCTCTTTCAATTCTTCTCGGAATGCTCCCCTAGGGAATCAATTTTTTGTTTTAGTGATTTAACTGTTCCATCAGCATCCACTTCTTTGTATTTCACCAGTAATGCTTTATACGCCTTGTTTTTCTTGATTAGCTCACGGTATTCCGCTGATTTAACTTCCCACATGCAAGGAAATTATCTATTAAGCTCGACAAACTCACTGTGTTGCCAAATGCCAATACGTAAATTTGTAAATTAAATTTGTTTGGTTATGTTTTGTTAAACTTAGTATTTGTATATCCTTCATGTGATAAAAGTGAAATACGAGAAATTCAATATGGAATTTGTTTGTGATGAATGCAAACTTTCAAGCTGAACGTGAGTGAAATCCTCTTCCCGGCCAACTGACATATATCAAAAAATAGGCATTCTTGCTTCACAGCTTAATATCGCTACTTATACCAAAGAAACCTAAGTACCTATTAATAAAAACAACAATTAGTTAAAATGCATATTTTTCTGAAATATGTTTACAAATATTGGTAAAAGTATCTTTTGTATTGCCACCATATATTTCGTACCACATATATGCACTGATAAGACAGGCAAGAGCCTTGAAACCATTACATTATTTCTTCTGCAAAATCCCTACAATCTATTTTTCTATGGTACAATCAGAAACAACACAGCCGAAGTAAATAACAAATTTAACTTACAAATTGACGTATTGCCATTTGGCAACACCGCGGGCACCCGAGTTGCGGTTAGGACTAAGACAAAACTGTTAAACTCCAATAAAAAGTCTCTGTTCCACTGCCTAATATCTGACATTTTTATTATAACCAGTTGTAAATGATAATTAGCAACACAATCATGCTGAACGTCACTGCCACTGATAAATGCCCGACCAATCAAACTGTTGAGAACACACACCTCGTGTTTACTCGAACGGTTGGCACGATAATTGATAAAAATCAAGCCTCGCTTGAAATTTTGGAACGACGTGCATAAACGACGTTCTTGCCATACACCTCATTTTTGTGACATTTTTACCCTGAGGTTTTTAACCGTCGGTTAGAAATGGCGGAGAAAAACGAGTTAATGAAGGACTTTTTTAAAGAAATCATTTTGTTGGGTTCTAATTAACAGTGCTGTTCCTAAAATGGCGCTGGGAAACAGTAACAAAGCCTACACAGAACACGAGGCTAATGGCCGTAGTAGTCGACGCCGATGACACGAAATTAAAAAAAAAAAAAAAATATTTATTATTAGTGACACAATCCACAACTTACCTTGTTTCATTTATTGATAAATAAAAGGAATTCAATTATTTTTTTATCGATTTTAACTATCCAAAGTATTTGATATATAACATTACTTTCGAAGTCTTTTGGTTATTTAAATTTCATTCATTGATATTTGTCACAAAAAAAAGTTATATTGGCTGTAACTTACTTATCCGGATTCATATGAAGTTTAATTTAAATTTGTGAAAAATATATTTAAATTCTATATAAATATGGAATTTTTCGTATTTCATGACATTTCAATTTTCTCCATGTTTCAAATATATGAGGCTTTGAGAAGTTTGTCGCCAACGCCAACGTAACTTCTTTGAAGTCATACAAGAAGTTTTTCAATTTGTAAAGTAATTTACAGCTAACCGCGGTTATTCCGTTATTTGGAAGACATATATTTATATCTATTTTCATTTTTCTGTCTGCCTTATAAATTTTATTACTTTTATAAAGCATGTATTGTAAGTTAAAAATGTGGTGCGTTTATAAATTAAATTAGAAAGGATAAAAATACGTTACTTCAAATTTTATCTTATTAAAAAATATAATTACCATCACACTTTTCTTTATCCTTTTATAACTAAATTATACATTTTGATTTAAGATTAATGACTGGTATTGGAAATGTATTACCTTATATTCTTACAAGTTAAATTTCTGTTGTTTTTTCATTACAATCATTTCACTTTATCTAACTGTAACTTAAAAGCAAAAATGGATAAAAATTGGTCTTCAAGTGAAGTTAGTTAGTGCTTATATAAATTTCCAAAATGTCCAATGTATTTTCATTGTTGAACATTTTATTAACTTCTAGCGCATCTAGGAAAAGGTCAGCTAATTAGTAGAGAATTTCGCCTCGTATCTAAAGTGCGAAAAGACTGAAAAGTGTGTTGTTAAATAAAAAGAAGATTTTTGTTAAGCAAAAATTTAAGGTGACATTGTGGCAATAGTGATTGAGAAATCTTTCGATGAAAGGATTTATTATAAAAATTACAACTTGTATTAGAAACAATAATAGTCCAAGTATGATGAAAATATACGATATTTAGTTTAAAACATATATTTACGAAATTAAAAATATAATGATACCGACTAACGAATTTAACAGTAGGAATGCCAAAGCTTCTCTGCCACGTTTCTTTATTGAGCCGCTCCGTGACGATTCTGTAAATCACCGACGGGCTAACTCAGCAACTCTATTTAATGGTACCGCTATCAGTGGTGTCGATTACACTTGACAAGTTAAAAATATATAAGGTCACGTTAAATTAAAAATCAATAAATTCTGGAAAACAAAAACAACTCATTCTAAAGCTGGATCCACTGCGATCCACCACAACATGATCCATGGTGTTAGAATTAATATTCTTTTCAACCAGAATCTGTTTGATTAAAGCTATTTTTAATCTAGAAACATTAAATAAGACTAAAATAGTGGACTATTATTTGGGTTACCAGCTAATATTCTATTACATAGGTCTAAAGAGTTTTTTTACTGCGAATTTAGGCCGGTAAACAATAGCATTAAGGGCAGCATCTGGCCATATCTCGAAAATTGTTTATCTAGACAAATTCGCATTTTTTTTTACAAAATCTCTAAAAGAAAATACTTAAAAATGTTTATAAATTTGATAATGTCCGCTATGTCACGTGATATATCACGTACAAAATATAATTATGTTTTCATAAAAAAAAAGCAATTAGATATAATTCGTCGTTCGTAGCAAGGTGCGCGTGTGTGTGTGTGTGTGTTGCTCTGTGAAAGTATTTAATTTCTACTGGTTATTAATTGAAACATAGTAATCTATTAATACCGCATGATTTGGAGATATCTACAAGATGGTATGTGCATTCTTAATTTTATACATTAATTAAATGCAGTAGTTTAGTTACTTTGATAAACAATGAGCTGTGAATCTTGTGACACTGCGATAAGCCGAACAAAACCCGGTATTTCATGTGCTGGTTTTTGTGGACAAAAAGTATTTCACACCGGTTGTGTTGAAGTTCCTTCGGACGTTGCCAAACATACTAAAACTTATGGCCTTCTAATTTTAATAAGCATTTTTCGCACACTTTGGAAACTAAGCTAAAAGAGGTGATAGGAAATATGGAGAAACTATTCACTGAAGCTAAAGAAGAAATTTTTAAAATGACCGAAGAAAATATTAGCAATATATCTCCTTTTGATTTAAATAAGTCAACTTATTCGCAAGTAGCTCAAGCGACATGTCAATTGGTTGTAGGTATTAAACCTAAGGATGCTACACAAAATAATATTCAAACTAAGGCTGATATTATGAGCAATATTAATCCCACTGAATTAAATATAAAAGTTTCAAAAGTTTAGAATACTACAGATGGCCGAATACTTGTTGAGTGTAGTAAGAAAGAGGACGCATCTAAATTTAATGATGCAGCTAACGCAAAATTATCAGATGCTTACGAAGTTAAAGAAATTAAAAGTAGAAATAGGAAAATTAGAATAGTTGATATGATTGAGAAGCATGAACCTGACGAACTTATTTCGTTACATAAGTACCAAAATGATGTCATCCAATCGTCCAGAGTTTGCAGCGTTGTGAAAATTTGGGCTACTAAGAAAAATGATAAGATGTAGCAAGCAACTCTAGAAATTGATGCCGAAACTTATGTCTCTTCAAAGTCTTTTTGTTGGCTACGAGGTATGTTCAGTGTTTGATGCTATATATATATATATATATATATATATATATATATATATATTGTAATGATATGTATGTATAATTTAATTATTTTTAAGAAAATATTTTTTGTTTTCTTAGTGTAGAAAATAATACCTTTCAGCTAGCTCATAAATTAAATTTATATTAGACGCCAATGACAATATTATTAATGTTATATAATAAGCACTTCAGAAACTTACCTATATAGGCCTATAACATTCCTTTTTTATTAAATTTGCACGAGACTCAGTTATTTGTTTAATGTTATTACCTTTCATAAAATATTTATAGTTCTCAGGGATTTATAGTGGTTTCAAGAAGCAAATAAGAGATTGTCCCAATCTCCCCTATCAAATTTTGCGAAACTGCAATGATCTTCAAAATTAATCAATCAGTTATGCAACCAACAATACACATTTATTTGAAAAGAAAAACCAAAGACAATACAGTTAAATAGACAATTAGGTTAGTCAAATATCAACTCATTCATTCGTTCTATCATACTTGATTAACGTAAGAACTTAAATTTAAATTATTACACAAAACCAGTTCATTCTCTACACAACTTGTAGTTCATATGGCCCGTAGTTATATGAGACCTGAATTGGTAACAATGTCCTTGAATATTTCTATTAGTGTTTAAGAAATATAACCTCAAACTACAATGATTGGTATATTGAATGAAGTTGTCTTGTATTAAAACTTTATATGTTCAAAAGGTAAGAAATATCAATTTAAATATAATTATACAGTCAATACCTTTAAGCATAATCACTGTCAATTTACCATCATCTGCTAAGATGCGGGATCTTTTATATGTGTTAAATAAAAAACTGTCCTGTGACGCACTAAGCCGGCACAACGCACTTTTGAGGTGAGTAAATAAATACCTTGCTCTATTTGTCAATTACAAATAAAATTTACAACTAGGTTTCTTTAATTTCTTGATAACTGATCGATTGATTCTTTTCTTTTATCATTTTACGGGATTCAAAAATTTTTCATACATTTCATCTTTTATCAATTTTCTACCACCAATTTTTTTTTTAAATCAACAACCCCTTAGTTACCAATTTTCATCAAGTAATAACTTTTTAAATTTAACCAATCAAAACGATTTGCTTCTAGTGATCTATTATTTATTTGATTTACTATTTTAACTAAAAGACTTTATTTAAAATATCACTGTCCGATTATTTTTGTGAAATTATTTCATACTATTGTTATTATAATTTCTTTATTCTGGTTGTCAATTTTTATTAATTTAGAAAAATCTTCTCATATAAAATCATGTTGGCAGCAATTTTACCAATTTTTTGAAAATTGTCAAGTTTGTCAAACTTTCTTGATAAACTTGCTGTACAGGGTGTTAATATAATTATTCGAGAAATTTTTATTTTGATTAAAATTTATTTTATTTTATTTTTAATGATTGTAATTTTATTTTAGGTAATGACACATAGATTTTCATGGAATCATATAAGTACAAGGCCTTATAAATTATAGAAACGAGTATTCTTTTAATCGCTCCATGAAAAATTAAGTTTCTGATGGCTTTAATGCATTCTTACTGAAGGTAAATTTTTAATTTATGTTATTTTATCTAGCTAAGCATATCCTTTTCTACATGATATTTTATTACATTACAATTTTCCCAAATTTTGTGTTAATTAAAATATTCGATAAAATATATTTTATTAACACCAAATTTCTATTGTTTTTTTTTAATTTAGGACTTTAGATTAAAAACCTTGTTTTTGATTTTAGGAAACTAACACACATTATCCACTGTCACTTTCCCTCATATGTTTCGGCTGATGTAGAAGGATTTCTTTATTTTCACGTAAGTTTTATACATTACTAATTTATTTACACTAATCCTATTTACATAAAAATAAATTTCTACTATTCTAAATATCTATACACTTGTGAAATGTGAAACACTCCTCTTATTCGTTCACTGTTTACTTCTTTAAGTAAATAACTATTTATGGGTGTGTCATTGACAATGACGTAGGGACCTTCATACGGAAGTTGGAGTTTGGCACATCTACTGTTCTTTTTATTAGCTACTTGTAATGATTTAATTAATACCAACTCTCCTTTCTTAAATTGTATCTTATTTTTAATTTTCTTTTCTTGCTTCCTTAAGTATTTTTCAGTTTTCCTTCTTATTCTCTTGTTGACCTCATTCATAACAGTTTCTTTATTTCTAGGTGTATTGCATATCCACATTCTGTCAGGATTGATGCCTTTCAACAGGAATATTGGAGTTTCCTCAGTATGAGTGTTTGGAACTTCATTGAGATAATATTCTATGTCCTGCAACTGTCTGTCCCACATGGTGTGGTCAAAATGAGTAACAATTCGTAAGTATTTTATTATTTCCTTAATGTAACGTTCAGCTGGGTTAGCCGATGGATGTCTTATACTTGTAAAAAATTGCTGTATTTCTTTATCTTGCAAAAACTTTTTAAATTTTTCATTCTGAAAATATGTAGCATTGTCCAATATGCATTTCAACGGTTTTCCCACATCCTCAAAATATTGTGTAAGTAGAACTTTTAGAGTTTTTGTGTTCGTTCTCCTGCATGGATATAATTTGATATATTTGGTGAATATGTCTACTACAACCAACAAATGTTTATTTCCGTTCGTACTAGTAGTTAGATTTGATAAAAAATCTATTGCTATTGTTTCCAAAGGCTTTTCTGCTATTATGGATCGAGGTTTGTTTTGGTTATGATTATTTTTACTTTTGGCATATTGACATATTGTGCATTTATTAACTAAATTCTTGATTGTTTTAATATCATTTTTCGAATAATAATTTTCTCTAAATATGAGCCACGTCTTTCTAACACCTATATGTCCAAATTGTTCATGTATATCTCTTGCAATTTCTCTGGTAAGCTCTTGGGTAATTATATATAATTCTGTATCTTGTATAATTTTGTAGTACATATTATCTGTTACTTGTGATCTTTGTTTTTCTGTACTAGATAAATTTTGTTGATCCATGATAATTTGTTTTGTCGAATATAGTCCAGTTTCATTTTTCATTATATTGATACCAATCTTTACTTCTCTATACTTATTGGATAAGCAACCATCCATTCTGGTAATGGAATCAGGTACCAAATTCATCTTCCCAGGAACATATTTTATTTCAAAATCGCATTCTTGTAGCAGGAGTGCCCATCTGTGGATCCTACTGTTCCCAAATTTATTGTTTAAAATTGATGTTAATCCTTGATTATCTGTTTCTATATAAAATTTATTTCCCAAAAGGTAAAATCGTAATTTAGTAATGCTGAAAATTATGCTGGCTAACTCTAACTCGCTTACACTGTAATTTTTCTCATGTATTTTGGTGGTTCTAGATATGAAACAAATTGGAACTTCCTTTTGCTCTTGGATTTGCACCAAAACTCCTGCGAATCTTTGCTTGGATGCATCGGTTTTTAAAATGAAGGGCAAATCATATCTGGGGTGATAAATTTTAAGATTTTCTGTGAAGTTCTCTTTAATTTTATTAAAAGCTTGTTCTCTCTCTGCAGTCCACTTCCACCTAACTCCTTTTCTAAGTAGCTCTAATAATGGCATTTCTAGTTCAGTTAAATTAGGTATTAATTTCTTATAGTAATTTAAAGTACCTAAAAAACCTCTTAATGTTTTAAGATTCTTTGGTCGATGGTATTCTCTTATTATTTGTACTCTTTTGGGATCTAATTGTACTCCTATTTCATTTATTACATAGCCTAAATACGTAACTTCCTTTTTCACGAACTCACATTTATTTAAATTTATTTTCAGCCCTGCTTGATCTAGCTCTCGCAAAACAACGTCAATGTGTTCAAAATGGTCAGACAGATTGTTGGAATATATCAAAATATCATCTATGTAATGCAACACAAATTGTTCGTACTTGTTCAAAATTTTATGGAGGACTCTTACTAAGGATGCACACGCGCTCTGCAGACCAAATGGTACTACATTAAAATGGTATACTACTCCATCTATGGAAAATCCAGTATATTGACGACAATTTTTTTCTAGGGGAATCAACCAAAAAGAATGTTTTAAATCAATCTTGGAAAAGATAGTTGATTTTGTTATTCGGCCTAAAATAGCATCGATATTAATGGGAGATTCATATTGCGGGATGGTATATTTGTTGATCATCCTCGCGTCAAGACACATACGTATCTCTCCACTTTTCTTAATAACAATTACCAAAGGATTAATGTATTGGGTCACACTGTGCTCTATAATGCCTTTTTTTAATAACTCTTGTATTTCTTTTTTAACTTCATTTTTAAATCTATACGGGATTGGATATGTTTTAACTTTGAAATTATGGATATCTTTAACCTCAATCTTATGTACATAATTCGAAGCAACTCTCATCTCTTCATTTATTAAACCTTCATATTTCATAATAATACTCTTTAATTTTTTATAAACTTCATCTTCACAATCTATTTTTATATCATTCCAATTCATTTCATCTTTTTTATCATTTTTCATAAATTTTTCTCTTTCTGTACATAAGTTTACCTTTACTTCATTTTCACTTTTAACTCCTTCCTGTCTTCCTTTTTCAAAATCAATCCATATTCCCTTTATACAAATTTTTCCTTTTTCATAGTCAATTATACAATCGTATTTGTTTAACATATCTGATCCTATTACAATCTCAGAAACAATGTCAGGCACAACGAGCAACTCTACATTAATTTGTTGATCCTTTAATATTACATTAAGATTTACTAATTTGTTGGTATTATATAATTTTTTATTATTAACACTGATTAAATTAATTTTAGGAATGTTTATTATGTTTTCTATTATTTCATGGTTATTTTCAATTATTTTATTATTAACTAGTGATGCTTCTGATCCAGAATCGATT